CACTCTCAAGTCCACCAGTGGTGGGGCAACTGGGCAGCCGCAAGGTATGCGTCAATATAAACCATTTCCCTGTCCGGGGCGGTTATGCCACACCCAAGGTATGCGTCAATATAAACCATTTCCCTGTCCGGGGCGGTTATGCCACACCCAAGGTATGCGTCAATATAAACCATTTCCCTGTCCGGGGCGGTTATGTCACACCCAAGGTATGCGTCAATATAAACCATTTCCCTGTCCGGGGCGGTTATGCCACACCCAAGGTATGCGTCAATATAAACCATTTCCCTGTCCGGGGCGGTTATGTCACACCCAAGGTATGCGTCAATATAAACCATTTCCCTGTCTGGGGCGGTTATGCCACACCCAAGGTATGCGTCAATATAAACCATTTCCCTGTCTGGGGCGGTTATGCCACACCCAAGGTATGCGTCAATACAACCCGTTTCTCTACACGTGGTTGCTATGCCATCTAGCAGTATTTGCCACGCCCAAGGCCTCCGTCGATACAGCTTAGTTGTCGGCGTGGGGCGGCTATGCCATCCCAAGGTATGTGTCAACACAACCGATTCCTCTGGGCGGGGCAGCTATGCCACTCCAAGAAATTCCTTCTTCCCTGAAACTCGTCGGCGAACGACGAGCGGAGACCCTTTTCGTCGGCACAACAGAAGTAACGCCAATTTACACGACATACAGAAGGTGCGACTTGCCCTCACTTGCCGTGTTTTAGGATGCCACAGTGATGCCTGCAGCTCGGCGAACTCACAGTCACCATGTCTCCCAATCTCACTTGAGCAAACGCAAATCACACAGCTGATATACTAGATTAACAGATCGGAGGAAATATTCGCACCCTTATCGGACTCCGATGATCGGAGACTTACCGTTTAAAATCGTGGAGGAACTATTAGAGTATGACAAAGAGCAGCGTGAGAACGACCAGCAGTCTAATAACCATCAATAGCACGGTAACGATCAGCAAACATGACAACGATCACACTGACCGGTTGTACGAGTACGAGATCTTCAGGATATCTATTTATTCACAGCAGCCTTACCTATATCACGATGGGGCGTCACAGGTCACACAGAGTTGAAAGAAGAGAACAGAAAAAGACAGTAAGGCACGACTGTGGAGACGAGTCAACTTGTTTCCGAGCATGGTCCTCAACAGAGATGGATCAGGCGAGTCACAAAAATGAAAACAACGCAAGCTTTGCTCCGACATTTACAAGGCCACCAATGCTAAAAGACTATAAGTCCTTACGAAAGACATAGCCGCCGCATCCACAGTGATGTGTGTACGTAACTATAGGGCGAATCAGACCTTCAACTGGCATGGACTCAAGACCGTCCCCCTGGTCTCTCCAAGTCGATACTGCATCAGTAGAGTTGCTGCCGGTGCTCCTTGAGGATCTGTCCGATTCGACCAGAGCCGGCAACGGCTTCAAAGACTGGTACCGGCCAGTGCGCCTCTGACAAAAATGCAGGAAATTTAGTGAGCTCTACCAGACGTTAGTAATGCATACCTGTTTTGAAGGGCGCAGGTGACGAGGTGGCGGGTTCGCTGAGTGGTTCGCATGAGATACCCTCATATTTTTTCTGAAAGCAAGTGAATCTTCAAGGTAGCTCCGTCACTCGACAGCATAGGAGGACTAATGGTGACTCACATAGTTGCATCCCTGAGTCCTGCCGAGCCTCGGATACCAGAAGCCTCCTGCTGTCTTGCTACGCGACGACTGGGCTGATAAGACTAAAAGGGGAGTATAGGACCAAGAGAAATCCTTTCGGTTACGTTAAAGCGACGGAGATGTTCATGGCGCATGCTATATGACGCCAATTCTAAGGCTGTCGCAGGGCCTCGAGCCACGATAGGAGCGGACTCGATGCGACGAAGAGGCGGTTGATAAGTCGGCGAGTTCCACCTGAGTGAAAAACACTGTGAGTACTCGTCGAGTTTCATAACAACGACGAGGTAGCCCTATTTTGAATGATGATAATTTACCATTGAAAGTTGGAGAGCGAGAGTAAACATCATAGATCCATCATGCTCGAGACATCGAGAAGGACTCAGAGACTACCTCTACTACGCTGATCAAGGATTCCATTCGACTTCAGAATCGACTATGATGTACCGTTGATAAAGATTCAGTGGATGCCGGTATATTAAGAGATTCCAGCGATTCTTCATAGCGTATTCGAAGATAACTTTCACAGTTGAAATCGAATCGAAGATTAGGCAATCCCAACTTTACCTCCGCGGTGCTTGAGGCAATGGTCTGCGGAGTTCCCTATTCCGCTGATGGTAGATATCCGTGAGTACAGCTAAAGGCGCTTGACTTCTACCACTGCTACTTCCAGAAGATATCACAATGTCACTGGCGACCATGATGGAAAAAAGGGAAGCTTAGACCGTGAATTTCCATACCACACCTTTCATAACTCCCAACACCACCTGAGAATACGCGAGACGTAATTTACTGGGTCCTAAGGAGTTTGTTCCTTCTCGGCCAATGGTGTCTTCCAGTGTGCTATACTATGGCGGCTCTTCATTACACTCTCAACATCAGGATCATACTTCGCCAGAATCTCCATTATTTCCGGATGATACTTATTGTTGAGGAACTTCACATTAGTGTAGCAGTTACTGAGCACGTCTATTCGCTCATCAGAGAGACCTGACAGGAAATATGGTGGCCTACTTGGACAAATAATAGATCGAAATGTCTTAGAAAACGATGAACGTGTTACCAAAAAGACTGCCGGCTAGCCGACCTCTTCGACATCATCTTCCAACAAGGCGAGAAAACTCGTCAACTCACTGTTGATAATGCCTCTAATGACAAACGAATGCCTGTAGTCACACCGACGTTTCGAACTGCAATCTCAACAGACTTCAAATCAATTCGGTTCTATCGAGAGGTAACACGAGACGCCCATGCCCTTACTGTCTCCCATTCCTCGTATGAGCTCGTTGATGAACTTGAGCCGTTGAGCGTAGTGACTTCTCGGCTCGTCCGGTCGTCTCTTAGCGTACGGCTTACTGTAGTCAACCTTGAGATGTTGATTCTGTCTCTGTACCTCTAGCTCACCCTCTCTATCGCTCATGTGGAATCGAGAAAACTATACAACTTGAGGGAACATCGCTGGTATAACACAACAGATGTTTTCTGAGAAGATCAACCAAACATGATTGTGCCATGCATTACTCTTCCTGATCGCCATCAGCTGCTTCCGCAGCAGCTCTCGCCTGATAGTTCAAAATAACGAGAATCATATGAAGCTAATCTCTTTATAGGACGAGGCCCTTACACTCTACGTTGCATGGAATAGCCTCAAATACAGGAAACAAAATACCAAAAAACCGGAAAAGAAGGGCTGAGAGAAATTTTGCTCATGATTTGACATCTCAGAGACGTTGAATTTATTCTTGGAATGTCTGTGCACGAGAATTTACAAGCACATTTCTATGGCATTTCTAGAAATGCCTAGAAATCTAAGTACTCTTTTACATTTCTTCTAGTGCATTTCTGCACTAGAAATGTGCTCGGCTATCAACTCGATATCTTAACTTCAGATGGTCAAGAGTACTTCACTACCTCCGCCTCTAGACGTTCCTTCTCTTCCTGCTCGGCAACTCTGGCTAGGTGAAGGTCCTCGGAAGCTTTCAAGTCGTCGAGAGTGAGTACCTGTATTATGCGACTCAATCCAACACTACAAAAATACAAGCCAGAGGGAACTCCTAAAATTTGAACAAACATCTTCAAGAACCGATGTGTTATCCATCATTGACATTATTCTATTATTACCTCTCCATTGACAATTCGCAATGTCTTGGGTAGTGCCAGTATGAGCTCGGCCTTCACGTCATCACCCATAGCAGTGAGTGCTGGGGTATCGCTTAGATCTATATCTGTCAGCTTCTGAGAAGATCAGCGAGTCCATAGCTTTAAGAATAATCTCGAATCAGTCGCCTATGCTAGTGCCGACTAAAACATCGTAGTGATGCTAAAGAGGAGCAGCAGAAATACGACAATTCGATTGGTCCAAATCCTCAGCGATACCACATAATGTTATCATCATCACCGACAGGTTAGCAAACAGTTGTTACAGGTAAAGCACGATGGCCATCAGTAGTCGTGAAGATCTCAGCTAGGATCTGAGTCGCTCTGTCAGCACCAAACTGGGTAGAGCTTAAATTGAGAGTCTTCAGCGAAGGGAGCGATGGGAACTTGGGCAGACTTCTTGGTGATGGCGGAGGTATCTATTCAGAACGATGAACATCCTACACCCAATCGAGAGAAGGGGCACTTCCGAAGTCATTCTATTCCTCAGAACTTTAGTGCCTCCTCATGAGGGAGCCATTATTACTTCTTCTTGTTCTTCCTGTGGTTGTTCCTCCTCAACCTCGCCCTCGTGTTCGGCCTTCTCAATGGGCTTGCCAGTGATCGTCAACAGAGTATTACCATCATGCAAGTCAAGCAGCTGATGTCATAATGTAGATCAATCGGCTGTTTTCACTCACTTCTAAATCGTCGAGCCCAAGAAGAGCTTTCTCCCCTATGTGAGTGAGCTGATTGGACGAGACTTTCAGAAACCTGGAAAATGATCCATACCGAACAAGTAGAACCAATCTTTTCACACGATCTCGTACTACAAGCATCGTAACAACCATTATACCTCAATTGATAGATCGTATATAATCTAGTACTGAAGCTCCACGGGAAATTATACACAAGTTTTGAAGGATATGCCTCCTCTGGAAGATTCGGTACTGCTCAATGGTGAATGTCATCCCACTTGAGTTTAGGCATATTGTTGAGGCCATCCAAAGTCTTGAGTGAGTTCTCGCTCAGATCGAGTTCTTCCAGAGCAGGGTGGCCATCGGCCGAAATCCTGGGGTAAATAAAGAGCCTCCGAAACGATCTGATAGGGACTAACCGGCTGGCATCCTCGACGTTATTAGCGTTCAACCTAAGAACTCTGAGTCTGGGCATAGCGGCTATAGGGCAGATCGATATGATGGAGTTGTGGGAGATGTCGATGTATTGGCACCATTGTAGACACTGAGACAATCATAACGATGATGATGGACATGGATAGAGAAGACAGCGAGATGATACAGAGACGATGTGACTGAATGATGATCCTTCTATGCAATCTCACCAGGTATGGTTGAATTACTATTGTATAGCATCGTGATTACTAAACTTGGAGAGGATCACTATGGACTACCAGACCCGATTGTAGCTGTACTACTCCGGGTTGGAAGAGCCCATCCATAGCGGTGAGCTTGTTGTGACTGAGGTCCAATGACAACAGATGAGGCAGGACCGACAGCTTGGATGCATCTCCTATATGATTGGACTTCAGTATCACTTGCCTGCATAAGCTAGCATAACATGCATAGAAGTGAGCTACCGATTCCCACCGGAGGTGCTTCAGCTCGTCAATCTCATCTGTGATATCTGTAAGCCCTCTTTCGGAACAGTCTAGGCGGATAAAGGCATAGCCGCTGCCGTCGACCGTACCTGACGAGTGATCAGGAGACTTACGGAGGTCAGAGGAGCGAGTTTCAACGATCGTGAGGTATCGTTAAGCTACCATGCCTCAGGTTCATCGTAGGCGTAACTGGACTATCAAACTTCATGACTACACTAACATTTTGTCGTATAGTATATCAGGCAGAATAGATAACGTCAATAGGTATTACGCTCCAACCTGGTGAGCCCCTCTGATATAATCTCGTGAGAGAGAGGAACAGGGTCTTCCATTTGGAGGCTGAAATGAGATGAGGAGCTGCTGGAGATATGTCAGGACTTGAGTTCAATACGGTGCCAAAATAAGATTTGTCATGGGAAAGAGTTGCGAGTTCAAATCCCAGGGAATACATTTTTCGGATTAGCGACCGTGTACGCAAGAACATATACATCGCAGAATAATGAGGATATGTGTGCATACAAAAGCAGCATGCAGACGCTTAGATAATAGGCGAAGATCTATAACTGTAGTTATCTTCTAATGCCCAGCTCGAAGGTGTCCATTGACATCCTTTCCTATGATGCCAATAAACCTACGAAATCTCTAAATCCCCCCTTGTTGGGTCCACTGGGATCACTCAGCGCTTGCCGGCACCGACTGGCTTTTGGAGGAAAAGGGAACGACAGAGCTTTCAAGCTCAGCGAGTAATACTATCTACTTGTCAATTCAGGAGTCTTATTTCCACTCCTTGATTGTTGTCCTAGAGCGGCTTCTCAGTTATGCAATTGATTCTATACCCTTTAAAGCGATATCTCGCTCTCAGTGAGGGGTACCGATTGGGGCAGCTATGCCATCCCAAGATACACATTAGTACAACCGATCTCGTTCGCACGCGAGGTGGGAAAATCAACCGGAACCGGTGTGTATCTTCCGACCCATCATGGCGACCTACCGTGATTTCTTGCTGCAACGTCGTACGTCGCAATGGATTTCTGAGTTGGCATATCTGCCCCGAGCGGGACTAGGGTTAGTAATGTCACGCCTTCGGTACTTCCACTTGACCCTACGGGGGAAGTTGGTTCTGCTGAGGTATATCGTGGGACGGCATAGTTGCCCCGGCTGAAAAAACCAGTTGTTCTGGGGTATATCGTGGGATGGCATAGTTGCCCCAGCAGGAGAGATTGGCTCTACTGGGGTATGTTATCTTCTACAGGAACTCGGATGACATATTTTCTCTACCCGTGGAATTTACTTCTACTAAGTCACAGTTGCTCCAGCGAGAGTTAATTGACTATACAGAGGCTTGTCTTGGATGGCATAGCTGCCCCGACCGAAGAATTTAATTCTATCTAGCCATAGCTTGAAGTGGCATAACTGCCCCATATTTGCACTTCCCATATCTTCACTCCTACAGATACACAGTGAGCCCGTTAAGTGAGCGGATCAGCAAAATTCATACCACATCATTCGGAATTAAATCTGTTGCCTGTGGTGCTGAGCACACCCTCGTACTGTCGGAAGATGGAGGCCTATATTCTACTGGTAGCAATGAGCATGTAAGTACAATACGAATGTTAGTAGTCTATGGAGCTCGTCGTTGCAGTGTCAGCTGGGCCGATCGATTTCTGAAGGCTCGATTGATTCCGAGCTTGCTCCTGTTGCTTGTATGCCCGTGGAGCCCATAGAGTCCATTGCATGCGGGTATTTCTGCTCATTCGCCGTTACGGTCAATGGAGAGCTTTGGGCGTGGGGAGATAACAGGTATGCTTCGTGAGGTGACTTCCTCAGCACTATGCCATCCGATTGAGCATTCGTAAATCATGCCTGCGAGATGACGAACTGGAGTTCGGCCGGACACAGAGTGTATTTACCCCATAACCGTGCCTACTCTGACCCTCATACATCAATTGTGCTACTTATTTGCTTCTTGAAAATTGCGCAAAGTGATAGCTTGATACTGGGGAACCTAATTTTCCGCTCATCCCATGGGTCATTCGGACTTCGCATCCTCCATCAAGTGAATAGAGGAGCTGTGTTCGAGCGAAACTTCTAGTCTTTGTGCTGGATGCAGATATGGTCAGCTAGGGATACCATCATCGCATGCTGAGAGCGTTCAAGAGCCAGTGATGGTATCGATATCGCCAACCTTCAAGTCAAACAAGTATCATCACGCTTCGCTCATACCTGGGTTCGAAGTCGAGAGCCAATCAACTGGCGTCTACTGGGA